AGATTTTTGTTACTAGCAAACCGTTTAATAATTTTACCCGCTCTTATCTTCCTTATTAATTGGGATATTGGAATAAACATTTTTTTGGTGGAAAGCTTGGAATAAATATTGTCGAATAATTGATTTAACTGGTCTGTGATGTCATGGCTTATTTCCGGTTTTTCGAAAATAACAGTAAATCGCAATTAATTTTTTATTTTTAAATGGAAACCCACTTTTTTATTGAAAATTTATATTTCTTGAGCATATCTGTCATTAAACTGAATTCATACGATTTCAGCGCTTGTAACCAATACATCAGTCAACTTCCTACTGATAAATAAAATAACAAAAAATAGTACTTTATGCTTATAATAAGTGTATAAAGTGGCAATCAAAAAAGGCCTTTACAGACGAATTGCATACGATATTTCTACTACCGTACATATTGCCCACTAAGATTAAAAATACAAAGGTTACTTTACGCACTAACGCGTAAAGAAGTAATTTGTCATGTCAAAATACTAAAAATTGTGTCTTGTTGGCACTAGTGCGTAAAAAGTTTTACTATACCCACTAGTGAAAAAAATAAAACTTTATGCACTCCGTAGTGCGCATAATGTATGTACTTTAACGCAAAGTAGCAGAAAAATAAATTAATACGACACACAACAGATCTTTAAATTTAAAAAATGTTTATTCTCATTTTAAATTTTAAAGTACCTAGCTTAATTTCATCACAAAGATTTAAGGAATCAATATAATAAAATAATACCCATCATACAATAATAAACATTGATAAGTTCAAGAAATTTAAATTTTTAATAAAAAAGTGCGTTTCCATTTAAAAATAAAAAATAAATAGCGATTTACTGTTATTTTCGAAAAACCAGAAGTAAGCCATGATGTCACAGTTCAGTTGAAGCAATATTCGACATTATTTATTCCAAGCTTTCAAACAAAAAAGTTGTCAATACGATTTCTCAAATAATAAGGAATATAAGAGCGGGTGAAATTATTAAACGGTTTGCAATAACAAAAATCTTAGATACGCCACTGGTACAATGTAAATGGGTGTTAATGGGAATTTTAAAGCTTACAAAAATGTTATACATGCCCATATTTTTTCCATAAACGAATTAACAGTAACATATTAAAAAATATATTATCCAATATGACGGTCATTTTGAGAGCTGACAAAAATTTTTCAACACACGTCACAGACCAATTGAATCCAGTATATGATAGTGTTTGTTCCAAGCTTTTACACAAAAAAGTTTTCGTTCCAATATTTCAATTTACAACGAAGATAAAAGCGGATGGAATTATTAAACGGTTTGCTAATAATAAAAATGCTTAGATACGCCACTGGTGTACTGTGAATGGGTCTTATTAGGAATTTTGAAGCTTACAATGATTTTATAAAAATCATACATTCCCATATTTTTTCCATAAATGAATTAATAGTAACATGTTTAGAAAAAATATTATCCAATATGGCGGCCATTTTGACAGCTGACAGTAAAATTTTAATACACGCTTCTTTTACTATATTGTCCCAGTAATTCAAATTTTCAACAAAAAAGAGGTTTCGATTTTAAATTAAAAAAAAACTTGCGATTTTAAGTTATATCCGGAAAAATCCAAACTAAGCCATGACGTCACAGACCAATTGGATCCAGTATATGAAGGTACCTGTTATAAGCTTTTAAACAAAACAGTTTTCATTCCGATATCTCAATTAACAACGAAGATAAAAGCGGATGGAATTATTAAACGGTTTGCTAATATTAAACATTCTTAGATACGCCACTGTTAAACGGTAAATGGGTCTCAATGGGAATTTTGAAGATAAAGATTTTATAAAGATCATACATTCCTATATTTTTTTTTCATAAACGAATTAATAGTAACATGTTTAGAACAAATATTATCCAATATGGCGGCCATTTTGAAAGCTGTTGAAAGTAGGTTTCAATTTAAAAATAAAAAATAAATTACGATTTTCTGTTATTTCCGGAAAAACCGGAAGTAAGCCATGACGTCACAGAATAATTGAATCCATCGTGAGAAAGTATTTGTTCTACTCTTTCAAACAAGAAAAAAATTATTTCGATAACTCAATGAATAACGAAGATAAGGGGGGGGGTGAAACTTTTAAGTGGCCCACCCTGTATACCTTTTTACATAGTTAGATAGAGAAAAAAAGCCCAATACTTTGGCGAAAACCGCATTTGGATATATATTTTCAAACCGGAGATTTTAGCAAAAATATAAAGAAAACATAGAGACGTAACACATTTAACGATCCAGCATTTTCTACTAGATCGATTTTTTAAGATATAAATCAAATTTATGCAAAACCTAATGCATGCAATTAGGTAATAAATAATTATGCATTCTTATCTAATATTGTTCGATTATTTAAAATAGGTAAAAATCATGGTTGGCCTGAGATATTGGATTAACAATAATGAAAACAATAGGACGCACGAAAACAATATAACTGCCTAGTTAGTCCTGAACGGAACTGATTTATTTGATTTTGGATTAATTTTAGGTAATTAGAGAAATAATAAAACACGAATAATCAGTGACTTTTTAAATTTTTAAATTTATCGACCCATATATATGTCAACTCATTGATAAATAAATGTCATTATTAGATATTTTCGTCTATGTGAACTTGTCTATCAAATAACTAGCTGTACTTTTCTCTAACGGAACACACTCTAGTTGTATTTTTATTTCTATATTAAAAATTCGATTTTTATGCTTTATTAACCTTAAATGGATTTGCAATCCTAGATCTAAAGGACAGACCAAAAATTCACTACCGAATAAACCGAGTAACACAAATCGAGCGACTGTAAAGTATAATGTATTGATGCCAAATCGAGCACGCAAAGTTGTCGATCAAAGCGGATTGCACATATAGATTTTAATAAAAAAACCCTTTGAAGCAAGGCTATTCGAATAAAATTACGAATTATGTTTAAATTTCAGCAGAAAATGTAAAAACCAATTAATTTCGTAGTAAAACCGACTTTCCCATTTCTATTTCTCGAAGTAATAACTTTATAAAATGGGTCTATAAATCCGACGCACCTCGCCCAATACATTTCACTTCCGGTTAATAGATCTCACCTCCGGTTTAGTAGCATATACACGTTCAATTTTCCCGGAAAATTGTCGACATTGAAACTCATACATAACGTTCAATGAAAGAAAGCATTCTATTTTAAAGTTTCCCATCCAGTTTTCTGCCAAGTGATTTTTCACGTTGCACATTTTCCACTTTTGCAATTTTCATTACACCTAATGCCAACCGAGGACCGGACTGGAAGGTGTAAAAATTTCAAAGTGATTAAGTTTTAATTTTTCAAAAATAGTTTTCGTGGAAAGTGCTTAAATATAAACAATTGTGACACGGTCCTTTCTGACCGCTCTTTACAGTTGGGTGTAGGGGAGGTGGCGAACAAGTTGTACTATGTCCGGAAGGTGGGAGCGGTTATGTGATCTGTGACATTCAAAGTAAAGTTTCGCATCGATGGATTTTTGCTATTTTTGACAGCAATGAAATATATGTTTTCAGACATCGAGTACAAAATGCCTCTCAACTAAGAATATTGCCCTTGCGAGTATTTTTGATCTAGTTGTTTTAACCCATTCTGCCTTTTATTCACCAAGAGTTTTCGTAAAAAAAAAATAACACCAAAATAATCTAACTTATATACATCTATATACATAGTGTGGGAACAATAATATCGATATCCTAGAAGCAAATAACACGTAAGTACATACAGTGAGCACCATAAGTCTTACCCCCCTATCTAACTCGTTACTGGAGTCTTGTTAGGAAAATCGCCGAGACAGGTCGATTTTTGATTATTACAATGTACATTTTTGTATGAATAGTTTACCCTTAATTTCATCCCTTACTGGAGGGGAGCAACCCTTTCGAAAAATTTAAATGGCATGGGGTAGTGAGTGATAGCTCATTTAAAAGAGGGTTTTATTCTCTATTCAACCGTGTAAAAAAATGTGAAATTTGCTTCATTAATTCTCGACTAATTGTTGTTTCAGAATAACGGAAATTAACGTAACGCACTCATCCTTAGAATTAAAATTCGGCCCTGCATGACTTCGGTTTTGGTTCAGACGTGAAGTAAGACTTTTTGCCATTAGAAGGTCACTGTTAGTCTAGTTGCTTTCCTATTTTGTGAGGTTTTGTTATTTTTAAACATTAATAAATCAACATGTAATGATGCAAATTTCAAAATTTTTTGCACGGTTGAATAGAGAATAAAACCCCCTTTCAAATGAGCTATCACTCACCACCCCATGCCATTTAAATTTTTCGAAAGGGTTTTTACCCTCCAGTAAGGGATGAAATTAAGGGTTAACTAATCATGCAAAAATGTACATTGTAGAAATTAAAAATCGACCTGTCTCGGCGATTTTCCTAACAAGACCCCAGTAACGAGTTAGTTAAGGGGGGTAAGACTTAAGATGCTCACAGTATATCAAAAATTGTGGGCATGAAGAAAACCGTTATAATAATATTATAAGAGAATATTATTTATTAATCAACTATGTCAAAAAGTTACAAACAAAATTAGGTATGGCATTTTTACTATCTTGACTGTTGAATCCTTTTTTCAATTTTTTTTAAAGCACATACATGTTATTGCTTTTTTCCTTCAGATTTTGTACTTTTGAGGTATTGCTTCTAGGCCATCGATATATGAAATCCCATATAAAAGGGTTTAAAATTATAAAATAAATAATTGAATAGGAGGAACAAGACGTGCATATCAAAAGAAAAAAGTCAACATAACCTTTGTCTTTTACTAGGACTGCTACGTAATGAAAGGTTAGATAACCTTTTAGATTTAGACAAATGGTGATAGCTGCTTGACGCAAGTCATGTAATGCAAGTGTGAAGAAGTGCATGTAACATACACTAGACAGACAACCTATTATATTTTTTATCTTTAACCAAACTAACGAGTACTTACTTGAGATGACCTCTGCAGGGTTCGTTCAATCTAAAACAAACAACAATACTTATTATTAATAGGTACATTCACAAATATTTTTTGTATATTTAAGTTATTTCAGTATACGTGGATATATTATTATATTCTTTCTATCCACAAATCCACAATCCACAAATAATCACAGTTCATGTTCAGTAGCCCGCAAACTTTCCTTTTTTTTAATTAGTAACAGTTCTATATTCTATTAAACGAATTGTTAGTATATTTTTTAGTTCTGCATATCTGTATATGTAACGTGTGGCGAGTGGGTTACACTTAGGCCACACTAGGCCTATTGTGCATCCTCCTTGAGCCAGCTTACAGATTATATGTAGTTGACAACATCACCAAGAGCTGCTTCTCTTATATCGGCCAGTGTTAGCCAATATGTATCGAACATAAATCTAATAAATGAGAGCGTCGGGCAATCGTAGAGGATATGCTCGATGGTCCCATCTTCTTGATAGTACCCCCTGCAGAGTGCGGATTCTGATAGCCACATGCTATGGAGATAGCCACATGCTATGGAGATAGCCACATGCTATGGAGATGTTACAGTACTTGGCAATGACCAGTCAGAATGCCCGTGATCAGGCGCAGATTCTGTCGTCATAGTCAAGTATTTGTTTGCCGTAATATTGTCATAACTTAAAAGCTTCCTGACAACTCTACAGCTTCTTGTTTCATCCCATCTTTCCTTGAGTTTCACAAAGGAATGTTATTTAATTAGGTTTATCACTAGTGATGTTGTCAGTAAAATGGAAGGGTCAGATCCAAAAAGTATTTGTTTTTTTTTTAATTATTTAACGTCGGTTTATTTTTAACTACGCGGTTTAAATACCGACGCTGGTTACCAGAAATTTAGTCGAATCCCCTGGTGTTCCAACCAGAGTTAGAGATCTTTAACGAACCTAACATCCATCGAATCGGAACCGACGGCATTACATCTCTTCCGAAAAGATGGCACACCCTAGCTATACCTCGTACTTATTGATATAACGCCTGCCTGCTGTGGTATGCAACTAAGCGAGCAGTTTGTTCGGACATACGCCGACTTTCATTGAAATGCTCACTCATCCAACTACTAACTGCGCTGGGCCTGGCTTGACTGCAGATATCAATATATAATAAATGAACCTACTAAGCTCAAATGCTCAAATATTTAGTCGGCTGTCTTCTTGGCATATCTTTAAGTTATTGAGATAAATATAATTAAAAATAAATAATACCTGTGAAAAATGCCAATAATGCCAACAATCTACTATACAGGTAATTGTACATAGAAGTATAGTAGATTTTTGACCTAAAAATATTACCGATTTGAGCCTTAATAAAATATTGGAAAAAGACAGATATATGGTGGGTAAAATTTAATAATTTATTTTTCATAATACCTTTAATATTTTTGGAGAATTTATATATAAATGGGCAAAGACAAAATAGTTCAGTACCATTTTTTTTCTGTTTGTGAACCGATTTTCTTTTTTTAAATTTTGTTTAGTTGCTATTAAAGAGCCGTAGTGTTATCAATAAAAAAAAATGGAAATACTATTTTTTTCCGAACCTTTGATATGTAAAATCCATTAATCCACAATCATGAATTATGATCTATATATAAATAGGCAAAGACAAAATAGTTCAAAACCGAATTTCTTTTTTTAAACTTTGTTTATCAGCTTTACTGTTATCAATAATAAAAAAAATTGAAAATAGTATTTTTTCCCAACCATCGATATATGAAAGGCATTAATCAACAATTATGAATTATGATTGAGTAATAAAATTAGCCCATAATGAACATAAGCACCCTTTAATTTCGGACCAACATGGACAAAATTATATGGACGGTTAGAGGATTTTAAAAACTCCAGGAACTCCTCCAACTTCCCCCTCCTCTTCCTCTGCCGAGCCTAAAGTGAGAAAAAATTAATAGCGTTCCGTAGACCTCACCTGAAACTATTTCAAACCGTTCATTTCCCTCCCCCCTATTTCTCCCCCACTCCAGGGGAGATCGATATATAGAGCCGCTGGACTTAGAAAAACGAACTACGGATTCGATGGAGTGGACTTTATTGCGAAAAAAATGTCATTCTCTGTTTCCCTATCTCACCTTTCCATATGAAAAAAGTTTTGAAATTAGACCCGAAAGCCGTAGACCTTGGGTTCTGGGGATTTTCGATCCACCCTTCTCTACACTCCCTCCACCCACAATTGTATAGAGGACCAAAATATCAGACGTAATGCGATTTTTGTTACTACTTTCCCCCCCACAACAATTATGATCCTCCAAAGGACAAGTCACTTCCTCTCCCCCCCTCTTAAGTGTAGGAGGGGGTGAAACATTTTTTTATAATTCGGGTATTTTGAGATAATTAAAAAATAAGAAAAGTTCAAAGCGTAGGCCGACAAATTTTTCACCTTCCCCTCCCTGGGCTCGTGACAAAATTGTTCCTATCTCTATACTAAACTCTTCTGGCCAGTCCCGTTGGCAGGATGCGCTCCGGCTACTATTCAAAGCAAATTTAAAATTAACGAAAATGTAGAGAAGAAGAAATGTCAAGAAGAAGAAATGCAGGACAAAACCATAGCTATTGTATTATTAAATATAAACTATATAAAAAATTTCTTGTAAAATTTCGGATATAAAAAAAAAAATGTTTTAATAACAAGAGAAAAAAAAATTACCAATAAAAACTACTGAAGAAGGCAGTGATCAGTGTCGAAAGCTATAACCACACACACACGAGTTTTATTTAATCTACAAATTCCTAAAAACCCAAGAACTACAAGAAAAAAACTATAAATTAAGGTGTAAGAATTTATAAAAGAAAGCAAAGACTTCCTTTGTAAAATACCAATATAAAAGAAGGATGGTTTAAATTGTTCCATGACACGTCAATTTAACATAAAAAAAAGTTATACATATTATTAACCCCAAAAGCTAACAGCTTTCGATATAATCGCAAATATAGACAATCAAATTATATAAAATGCGACATTATTTATTTTCTAACAATTTTTCAAATATTCATTTTCTAAAATCTTTGATTGAAAGTACTAAAAATTAATTGTTTTTTACCAAACATAATTTTATAAATAATTTTTTCTACACCCACATGGATATTAGCTTATCTACGCACAAACTAAAAAACGAAAAAGTATGTCATTGCGTTCAACTGAACGAATTATTTCATATCCATTCTAGGTAGTGAGAACACCTCAAAAAAATTAAACCAACTAAACGCAGTTCATATTTTGGACACTTAACTACTATTATTTGAAAATTTTAAATAAGTGACAATCCTGTCAAACTATCCGTAAACTAGAACAAATTCAAAGAACAGCATGTCTCAACATAACAGGAGCCATGAAAACAACACCGACTAGTGCCATGGAAGCACATACTTTGATTTTCTTTTACTATACGGATAATGGTCGCACTGCGCAGCTTTCCGAGTGCCTTTTAAAAGGAGATAGAAAATCCGCCATTTTGAACCCTTATTACGTGTTGCCTACATCTTGGCGCAATATTTTTAATAGGTGCGTTTTAATCATCCGCTTCTGCTTCGGAATTGTTGGTTTTCTTGTTTTAATCTGACAGGTTAGAACGACTGAACCGACAATTCCGGAAGCAGGAGCGGATGATTCAAAGGCTGTCAGAATCCGCACTCTGCAGAGGGTGCGAACAAGAAGATGAGACCATCGAGCATATCCTTTACGATTGATCGACGCTCTCATTTATTAGAAGATTTGTGTTCGGCGAGTATCGGCTAACACCGGCCGATATAAGAGAAGCACCTCTTGGCGACGTTGTCAACTACATTAAATCTGTAGGCTGGCTCGCGAGCTAGGAGGTGCCTATCTTCTCAGAAGGATGCACAATGGGCCTAATGAGGCCTAAGTACCGTGGGATAACCCACTCTCCACACATTACAGAAACAAATCCTGTCAAACCAATTATCAGTATATTTTTATTTATTAAAATTAAATATACAATAAAATGAGTTATTTTTGTGTAGAATCGATAAATAATCGTAAATAATAGCATTTCGAATTTTATTTCAACCATATATTGAAACAAAAATTAAATTTTATACAAACTATATGAAACTATTTTAATTACGAGCATTAAAACCAAAATCTTAAAAGTGACAATGGAGGCATGGACAGAGTACTTGACTTCCACGCGAAAAGCCGGGGATCGATTCTCGGCTGGCGACTAATTTTTTTAAATTTGTAGATTTCCGTTAGTGGGTCGTAGAAAAAAATATACTGTACAACTCGAGTGGATTGTCCATTTCGCACTCTTGAGCACTCCGCCTACGGCGTCGTGCCTAAATTTCGTCTTCGTGCGATATGGCCATCATACTCTTGTTGCACAAACTACTGTAGTCAAAGTTAGAAAAAATCTTGAATGAAATACGTTACAAAATACCGTGTTGTATAAGTCGTTTATTTTGCGGAACCTCGTTCTGCTCGTACTGCAAAAATTCATTACATAAAATATTTTTTTCCGTAACTGGTTGCATAAATAGCAAGTATACGATTATCACAAAATTTGTCTTTACGTATTTACTCCCATTTAATATTACTTTCATATATAATTTCTTTCATTGAACATCGTAGTAAATGACAAAATAAAAAAATGTTCTGAAAATTCTTTTTTCTGCAGCCGTCCCGAAAATAGAACTTTCGGTATGATTTATTAAATCGAAAGTGAAACTTTACACAAATCGTACCGAAAGTAGCTATTTTCGGAATGATTTTTTTTACTTTCGGGACGATTTTTTTACTTTCGGAATAATTTTCAATATCTATGTAGGCGGCCTTAGCAATGACATTTACGGAATTTTTATTATGACATCGCTTGTCAAAATAAATTTGTTGATAGTTCCACTGTATTTTCAATTTTCCGATCCAGAAATGGAAATCGACAACGAAAGTGACGAGGAAATGATTATTCCACATGAAATCAGTGAAGCTGCTAAAGTCGCTACTTATGAATTGTT